TTTTTTTATGTCAGTTGTGGGGCTTGAACTTGGCCTGAGCCCTGTCCCTGAGCTCTAGTGCACTACAACTTTGAGCCACTGGGTCACTTCTGGTTTTCTGGTGGTTAGTTGGAGATAAGAGTCTCATGGACTTTCCTGCCTGGGCTAGCTTTGAACCTTGATCCTCAGATCTCAGCCTCCTGAGTAGCTAGGATTACAGGCATGAGCCACCAGTGCTGGGCCTGAGCTCCTTTTTGCTCAAGCTAGCACTCTACTGCTTGAGCCACAGTGGCCCTTCTGGCTTTTTATGTGATTAACTGGAGATAAGTTTCACAGACTTGCCTTCCCTGGGCTTGCTTCGAACCTTAAGCCTTGGATCTCACCCTCCTGAGTAGCTAGGATTATAAGCTTGAGCCACTGTTGCCCAGAAATCCTCATTTTCTGCCTGGGAATATGGCTTAGTGGTAGAGTGCTTGCCTAGCATGCATGAAGCCCTGGGTTCAATTCCTCAGTACCACATAAACAGAAAAAGCTGGAAGTGGCCCTGTGAGTCAAGTGATAAACTGCTATCCTTGAGCAAAAGAAGCTCAGAGACTGGCAAACAAGGAGGAGGAGGAGGAGGAGGAGGAGGAGGAATAAATAAATTCTCATTTTCTTATCTACTCACTTAGTGAGATTTATTCTTTCCCATATTTTCATGGTTGTATAGGATTCCTTCATGTACCTTCTACAGTGCTGGATTAATGGTGATGAATTCTTATACTTTTTGTTTATCATGGAAGGTTTTTATTTCTGCTTTAATAATAAAGGATAGCTTTGGTGGATATAGCAACCATACTTGGCAGTTTCTTTCTTTCAGGGATTGCAATATATAATTCTGTATCTTCTTGGCTTACTAGAAGTTATTTTCTGATCTTCATTTGGTACCTTACATAGCCTTTTATTTATTTAGTTTTGGTTGGTCATGGGGTTTGAACTCACAGCCTAGATGCTATACTTGAGTTTTTTCACTCAAGGCTGGTACTCTGCCACTTTGAGCCACAGTGCCATTTCTAGTTTTCTGGTAGTTAATTGGAGATGAGAGACTTTCACAGACTTTCTTGCCCAGACTGGCCTCAAACCATGGATTCTCAGATCTAAGCCTCCTGAGTAGCTGAGACTATAGGCATGAGCCACATGTGCCTAAATCTTTTTCAAGCTTTGAGAATTTTTTCCTATTATCTTATAGAATATTTTTATCCTCTTGTCTTACTCCTCTTCTCCTTGTTCTGTGTCCTTGATTCATACATTTGGTCTTTTCATGATAGCCCAGAGGTCTTAGAAATTTCATTTGTTCTCTTTATTTTTCCCTTATCTTTATGCACGTGTACTAATTAATCTACCTTATCTTCAAGCTCTAATATTTCATTTTCAACTTGATCCAGATATTATCAAGGAAGGCTTTCAAATGATGGTCAGGTTGAAGTTTTTAATTTCTAAAATTTCAACTTGACTTTTTTTCTTCAGCATTTCTATATCGTATTAAGTACTACATGCTAACTGATGGTGCCACTGAAGCTCTAGGATTTCTCTATCATTATTGAATTCATCTTCCTTATTTTATCAAGGTACTTATTTTTATTCTCTTAAAGTTCATTCAGGTATTTATGTGTCCTCTTTGTTAGTCATTCTTGTTGTATTTTTTCTTTAGATTTTATTTTATTTGTGAATATACTGTACAGAGGGGTTACAATTACATGGGCAGGATAATGTGTACTTTTCTTTTTTTTTTTTTTTTTGTCGGTCGTGGGGCTTGAACTCTGGGCCTGGGCGCTGTCCCTCAGCTCTTCAGCTCAAGGCGAGTGCTCTACCACTTGAGCTACAGCGCCACTTCCGGTTTTTCTGGTGGTTTATTGGAGATAGGAGTCTCAAGGTCTTTCCTGCCCGGGCTGGCTTTGAACCGCGATCCTCAGATCTCAGCCTCCTGAGTAGCTAGGATTACAGGCATGAGCCACCAGCGCCCGGCTAATGCGTACATTTCTTACCAAGCATTGCAGCCTCCTCCTTTGGTTTACCCTTCACATCCCTTCCCAGCCTCCCCCCTCCCCTCTTGTTGTATTTTTTGTTTTTCTTTGCCAGTCTGGGGCTTGAGCTCAGGGCATGGGCACTGTCCCTAAGTTTCTTTTGCTCAAGACTAGCACTCTATCATTTGAGCTACAGTACCACTTCTGGTTTTTTCTGTTTATATGGTACTGAGGAATTGAACCCAGGACTTTATGCCTGCTAGGCCAGCACTCTACCATTAAAGCCACATTCCCATCCCTGTTAATATGTTATTGTTCTTTTCAATTCTTTGTCTTTGATTTCATTCAAGTCATAATCATTTGAATGTTTTATTTTGAGAGTGTTCACTTTTGGAGAAGTCATGTTTGTTTTTCATTTTTGTTTTTTCACATTTCTTGTGTGCATTAGTATTGTGTATTAGTATTCCCAGAATCAAGTCAAAGTCAAGTAATTGGTTAGAGTTTGGTTTTTCCCTTCACCTGAACACAAGGCGGGGGGGGAGAGAGAGAGAGAGAGAGAGAGTTGGCCTTGGGGGCTTAAGCTCAGGGCCTAAGCACTGTCCATGAGCTTTTTAGCTTAAGGCTAGCACTCAACCCTTTGAGACATAGTTCCACCTCAGGCTTTTTGTTGCTTAAAAGTCTCATGAATTTTTCTGTCAGGGCTGGCTTCAAACCGCAATCCTTAGACATCAACCTCCTGAGCAGCTAGGATTACAGGCATGAGCCACCAGTGCCTGGGGACACAGATATTTTAATAGGATTATATAATTTATACACATACATCACAAGTCATGAATACTAAAAGGTTATTTTGAAACAAAAAGAGAACATATTTAGATAAGCTTGAAGCCATAGCACTCCATTCAACATTAAGAACATTTTCTCTAGATGCATAACAATGTGGCTTCTTTGGTTATTGCATGGTCTCATGGACGATTTTGTATTTTCTTCGTATTTTGTGTTTTTCTTTTGTCCCCTCAACCCTCTCTTTTGGTAGACCTGGTTCCTGAACCCAAAGCCTTGGACATACAAAGCAAACAATTTACCACTGAGCTACATTCTTAGCACCCTCTAGACTTTGGCTTTCTCAAGTTCTATAAGAAATCTTTCTTGCTATGCGCTGGTGACTCATACCTGTAATTTAACTACTCAGGAGGCTGAGATCTGAGGATCATGGTTAAAGGCCAGCCCAGGCAGGAAACTCCATGAGACTCATCTCTAGTTAACCACCAGAAAACCAGAAGTGGTGCTGTGGATCAAGTGGTAAAGTGCTCACCTTGAGCTGAAGAGCTCAGGGACAGCACCCAGGCCCAGAGTTCAAACAAAAAAGAAAAACAAAATAAGAAAGAAAAGAAATAAAAAAAGAAACCTTTCTTGGCTTTGAAGTGATAAAGCTATCCACGTCCCCCCCCCCCAACAGTTATAATGACTTGTTTTTCACATGTACGTCTTCCATTCTTCTGGAATTCATTTTGGTATATGATGCGAGGTAAGGGTAATAATAAGTAATAAAACTGAGTTTCCCTAAACATGTTTACTACTACCACCATGCTTCCATATGCATATGCACATTATACAAATGCTAACTTATGAAATGTCTATTCTGTTGCCTTACTAGTTAATTTCTGTATCAACATATGCTTTAGTAACTGGAACTTAATAATGAAGATGATTTAGCTTTGCTATCAACTTCATTGGGTTGAGAACCTAGGAGATTAGTAAAGCCAACCTCTAAATGGGAACACCAACACCAAAGGTGGGCAGCATTCCTTCGGGAGGGGGCCAGGATGGATGTAAGGGGGAAAGGAGAGAGCATGCTAGCTCAGGCCTTCTCTCCACTTCCTGGTTCCATGAAGTAGGCTGCTCAGCTCCACCACACCTTCTTCATCATGACAGATCAAAATAAGCCAAAATAAACATTGCATCCTTTTAAGTTGTTTATATCAGGAATCCTGTCACATAATGTGTGTACCTAACACATATTACATAGCAAGTTTTTATTTTACTGCTTATAGATGCACTCTAAAACAAACAGACAAAATTGCTCAGAAAAGTGAGATCATATTACACTCATTTCTGAGGCTTACTTCGTTTGATGATACATCCTAATACTTCACCTCATTTTTAACAGCTGCATACATTTCAAAGTATGGCATAAATAGTTCTATCAGTTTTTTTTACTTCTTCATCTTTCTAAAAATTTTTTCTTGTACTACTGGGCCTTGAATTCAGGCCTTGTGTTTGTTGAACAGCCATCCCTTGAACTGACTGTGCCCCCCTCCCCAAGCACTTTTTTGCTTTGTTTTTTATTTTGTTTATTGTCAGTCCTGGGGATTGAACTCAGGACTTGGGCACTGGCCTTGAGCTTCTTTTGCTCAAACCAAGCACTTTTCCACTGGAGCCATAGTGCCACTTCCAGCTTTTTCTATGTGGTACTGACTAAATGAACCCAAGGCTTCATGAATGCTAGGCAAGCACTCTACCACTAAGCCACATTCCAAGCCCATTTCTTTGTTTTTTTAGACAGGATCTAGTGCTTCTTTCACGGAGCTGGTCTTGGGCCAGGATCATCCAACTTTTATCAGTCATACAGCTGTAGGTACGACTGATTTGTGGACCATTGTGCCCAGCTTATTGACAATCTCACTGACTTCTTATCTGGGCTGACCTCCAACTCTAATCCTACTGGCCCTCACTTCATGAGTAGCTGGTTACAAGTGTAAGTCACATCATCCATCTTCAGTTTTTCATTGTAACAAGTACTGCTAAGAACTGGCTGTAGCTTTCAGCAGGGGAGGTTCCTGGAGGCAGAACTCCATGTCAAAGAATATTCTGGCAGTTTGGAAAAGAGAAGTTAATTCAATGGCTTCTGGAAGCCCACTGAATACCCAGAGTATGAGTTACCAAATCAAGGACAGATTATATTCATAAAAGAATAGCAGGACAAACTCTAGTAATAAAGAAAATAAGAACAATCTAATTGACCGAAAGTTGGAACCTCGGCCTTTTAGAAAGTGAGAAAACGTTGAAATGAATGATTCTAACAGAGCCCCAGGACACAATGAAGAAGTTTAAAAAGCCCTATCTGGGTTGTCAGGTTCTGGCACAATAACAATTGGAAGGCAACATAGTTGCCTAGGAGATCAGTAGTGATTTTCACAGGAAAGACCTTTGCCGTAGATCCCTTTAGACTGTTAATTTTTGTGCTTGTTACTACTTCAGTGACAATATTGTACGACTTTTTTTTTTTTTTTTTGCCAAAGAACTATTTTCTCAATTTCATGTATGCCTTAGAGAAGCATTGGGACCACTGAAACTGGTAGGAGGAAGTTTTCAGGATCGTGAAAAAAATCAATGTTGGCCACACTTTCTCAGCCACCAATGACCTCTAAGTGCCCCGTGGAGGGTCTGGGAGTGGGGAACGTGAGGCTGGTGGGTGGGATGCGGTGCACCTGCGACCCATGTCCCCATCGCTTCCCCCCCTCCATCCCAGACCGAGCAGCGAGGCCAGCAGGCACTCACCTGGCGGCAGGAAGAGGGTGGCCCGCACCCGGCCCTCGCGCACCGGCCCCCGCCGCACCCCGGCCGCCATGAAGTGCCGCTCGTGCACCGCCCGCGCCAGCACGCGCCCGCCCTCGGGCTCGCCGGGCCCGGCGGGCTCGCGGCCGTCCAGCACCTCCAGCTCCAGCAGCAAGGGCGTCTGCACGTCCCGCTTGAGCAAGCGCCAGAAGGGCCTGTCGGGCTGCAGGGCCCAGACGAGCCCCATGGGCTCGAGCCCCGCGAAGCTGCCGCCCAGCGCGGGCGCGCGCTGCAGGTCCAGCTGGCCGCGGGCGTCGGCGCGGTAGCGCGCGTGGGCCCGGAAGAGCGCGCCCTTCTCGTCGCGCAGGGACGCGCGCAGCGCCACGGGCTGCTCGGGGGCCAGGCCGTGCACGGCGATGCGCACCGGCTCGTCCCAGCACACGCGGCCCGCGGGCTCCACCACCACCCTGGGCGCCGCCATCTCGACTGGAGCCGGAACGCAGGGTGGGAGGGGAAATCCTTCCACGGGTGAAGTCAGCCTGTGGTAGTCAGCAATCCGGCTGCTCGAGTTCCGCCCATCTCTCCGCACCTCAGGTCGCCCTGACCCGTCCTGACCACCTGGCCTGACTACAGACGTCAATCCCCACTCTCACCCTGCACATTCTTGCAGGCTCTCTGGGTAATTACACGCCCCCCTTCTCCGCCCCCCTCCCCCGCCAGGTTCAAAGGTGGCTGCTGTTCTCGGTCCGGACAGAGGCAACCGGTCAGCCCGTCAGTCTTTCCTGATTGGAAAGTTTTCCTTCCCGGCATGTGCGGTGTGCTTTATCCCGGCGAGACACGTAGCAGCGGGAGTGGCCTTTGGGGCAGAATTTGAGACTGAGTCCTTCTGTGTATTGACTGGGAGCCGCATGCCAAGACAGGCCCCTGGGTGCTTGGCATTCTATGCACTCTAGATTGAGAAAACTGTGTTAAAATAGATGTACAAAGGACGCTTAAGCGGAAAGACTAGAAAGGATGGTTTGGTGAGGGTAAAGCAAGTCAGTGTCTTAAACGTGTCCCTGATTCCCATTTAACCCATGCGTCTCGTCCTACGCCTTTCCTAAAGGCCATGCATTTAAATTGGAGCGTACAATACAGTCTCACTGCTCTTCTATAGCTTGGATATCTTTTCTTTTCCCTTTCCCCTCCCTCCCCTTTCCTCTCCCTCTGGTCTGAGACCAGGATTCAAAGCTGATTGGCTGTTGCTCTACTAACTGAGACACGCCTCCAGCTTGGAGCTGGAGTGTCTTTTTTTTTTTTTTTTGTGGGGCTTGAACTCTGGGCCTGGGCACTGTCCCTCAGCTCTTCAGCTCAAGGCGAGTGCTCTACCACTTGAGCTACAGCGCCACTTCCAGTTTTCTGGTGGTTTATTAGAGATAGGAGTCTCACGGTCTCTCCTGCCCGGGCTGGCTTTGAACCGCGATCCTCAGATCTCAGCCTCCTGAGTAGCTAGGATTACAGGCGTGAGCCACCAGCGCCCGGCTGGAGTGTCTTTAACAAACTACCCAGTTAAAGATTTGTTAGGAATATTAAGTGGAAAAACACCGCCAGATTTGCCTGTGGTATCTACCTAGAAAGATCTAGTCTGTATTGGTAGGGCTACGAGTTCCAAAAAGAAGCAATATAATTTGAGAAGATTTTTAAATGAAGAAAACCATATTCACAAAGGCTTTGGAACGCTTGAAATAAAAAAAGACCCAGGGCTGGGAAGTTGGCTCAGTGGTGGAGCGCTTGCCTTGCATGCATGAGGCCCTGGGTTTGATTCCTCAGCACCACCTAAGCAAAAAAAAAAAAAGAAAGAAAGAAAGAAAGAAAAACCTGGAAGTGGCGCTGTGACTCAAGTAGTAGAGCGCTAGCCTTGAGCTGAAGAGCTGAGGGACAGTGCCCAGGCCCGGAGTTCAGGCCCCAGAACCAGACCCCCCAAAAAAAAATAATAATTAAAAAAATAAAAAAAAGACCCAACAATATTTGGGGCAGAACAGTCATCCTTAAAGCATACCATGGCAGGTAGGGGCACACTGAATATCTTGACTTGACTCTCCTCTTACCATCCTGTGCCTCTCTTTGGCTGAACTCAACCACACAGCTTAGCTTGCTTGGACTCTGTCAAGATGGAAAAGGAAGGGTATGTGGAGGTGTGGGGTAAATGACAGCTAAATATTTATACATTGAAAAAAAAAGCAAACTAGGACTCAGTTCCCAGATTTCTGTGACCTTTCCTACCCAAATCCCCACTTTCTGTGACCTTTCCTCCCATTACATCTAATGAAGCAACTGCTTTTGGGTATTTGAAATACCTGTTGTTTAAGGTGTAACAAATAGGCTAGGCCCCAATCTGGGAAATTCAGCTGGCTAAAGAACTTGCCTGGATCACTGCAGGCTCCCATCACAGAAAATAAATAGAATAGCTAGAGTTCAGAAGTTGCACAGGCAAGATTCTCATCTCCAATGCCCAGGTTTCTGAGAGGTACACAGAAATCACTCAGTGAAGCATGAGGGAGAAACAGCTGATAAGGGGGCCTGAGCCTGGCCATTTAGAGCACCACTACTAAGGATGGCTCTACCTAGGAGAGGCGTGGAGGAAGCACAGGCCAGGTCTCAGAGCTGTCCACAGTCAGCAAAGCACCAGCTGCCATAGAAAGTTGCTGGTATTCATAAGAGGTACCAACAAACATCAGGCATCTTGATGATGGCCAAGTTTAATATCCAGATGGAGGACATACTGTGCTCAGAATGAAACCAAATCATAAATCTCTGTGCCCCTAAGTAGGCATGAGGACCTCATGGATAGACAAGATCCTGATCCATGACCAGTTTGCAGGCTTTCATTCACCTTAGATCCTTCCTCCTCCACATCCTCAATCACTGAGAGACTTTATGAGTGGCTTATAATTAATAGAAATGTACATTTTTTATGAACTTGTGCAAAAAATCCTCTGCTGGGTGCTGGTGGCTCATGCCTGTAATCCTAGCTACTCAGGAGGCTGAGATCTGAGGATTGAGGTTCAAAGCCAGCCCGGCCAGGAAAGACTGTGAGACTCCTATCTCCAATAAACCACCAGAAAACCAGAAGTGGCGCTGTAGCTCAAGTGGTAGAGCACTCGCCTTGAGCTGAAGAGCTGAGGGACAGCGCCCAGGCCTAGAGTTCAGGCCCCACGACCGACCAAAAAAAAAAAATCCCCTGAAATTCTTGTTTTTCTTGTCCAAAGCTTTGAGACTGAGACATACAGTTTCTCAGAGGAATCTACCCTTGCAGTGAGTGATAGAATTCTCATGTCTCTTCTTCAAGAGATCTCGCCATTATTCCTTAAAGGAAGACTCCCCACAGTTAGGGATTTTAGTTTATATGGAAGTCATGACTTTCAGACCAGACACTGGCTGTCTGGGCAGAGTTTCATCATTATCCTGATAAGCCCTCTGTCAGTTTACTCCCCAGTACCTTGAACTATGTCAGTTAACTTAGTTGGGTTGTTTACTAAGACCTTTACCCCATTTCCAGGTCATATTTGGAAGTTTGAGAAATTAAACTTTTCAGGTGCTGTGTTGATCACTTTTGTAATTTTGTTAGATAAGAAGCTTGACTGGACTGCTGGGTGAAACAACTGTTGTATAAACAAAGCGACACAGTGGACTACAAAATAATTCATCTTTTTCCCTAATGTCCTTCATTTGTTTCAGAATTCTATCCAGAATGCCACATATAGAGAGAGGTGAGCAGGCCCAAAGAAATGCCCTAGACCCCCCCCCCCAGATGGCTTAGCTCCACATCATAAGCCAATGATTAATATAATGGGTCTATACCCTCCTTAGGCAGCCTGTACCTGTATCAAGTTAAGATACAGAGGATCAAACACATTGCCTATGTCTTCTTACACCAGGGAAGCCATTGAATATTCATCAAACCATCCTCATAAACCTCAAAACTGAGGGCCTCAGTTTATTGTCACTTAGTAACTCTACCCTATTGGGTAAAACCCCAGGCCCCAAGCCCTTCGACAAAGCCAGTACTTATCTACAGGAGCTACTTCATCCCTTGAAGTCCACTCATACTATTTAGGCAGTTGACTGCTTTTCCGACTGTCCCTCATACCCTCAAAATGTACTTTTGCTTTGCTTTGTGAATAAATCACTCTTTACTATGTCCAAAAGAAGAGGAGCGGGAGGAGGAAGAAGAGAAGGAAGAGGAGGAGGAGAGAGAGACAATGAAGAAGAGATTTTCTCTTTTCTTTGCTTTCAAAGCCAGTTCGTTAGCGAACAGAGTCATCCATGTCTATTTTACTTCTGTTTTAAGGTTCTGTCCTGATCCAAAATCTCGGAGATGCTTAGTATTCCAGCATGATAAATAGTGGAAGGAATTACCTTGGAGAGTGTTAGAACAGTCTAATATCTTGCTGTGTGCTTCCCAAGGTACTAAGAAAGCATAATCACCAGGGAAAACCAAGAAAGCTACTCTTACTGCTAGTTCTTTTCTGAGCCTACTCATGTCTGTGGAAGGTGGAAACCCAAGCATCAGATCATCTTCATGTGGGAAAAAGAATCTTCTACTCATTTTTTTTTGTCCTTTGAATTTTAGCTCTCAATTACTGTCCCCTCACCTTTTTACCCTTTGTTTACATTCCCCCCCCCTTTTTTCTTCTTTTTGTAGGTCATGGGGCTTGAATTCTGGGCCTGGGTGCTGTCCCTTAGTTCTTCAGCTCTAGGCTAGCACTCTACCAATTGAGCCACAGCACCCCTTCTGGTTTTGAGTGGTTTATTGGAGATAAGAGTTTCATTGACTTTCCTGCCCGAGCTGGCTTTGAACCACAATCCTCAGATCTCAGCCTCCTGAGTAGCTAGGATTACAGGTGTGAGCCACTGGTGCCTGCCCATTTCTCCTTTTTTTCGATAGAAGCAAAGGAAGTTATTGAGCTGGAAAGTTACAGCCTCAATTTTCCTTTGTATTCAGCCTGGCTAGGCAGAGCCAGGGATTATAGGCTATTAGAAAACATAGCTTTAAGCCAAGCACTGGTGGCTTATGCCTGTAATCCTAACTACATATGATACTGAGATCTGAGGATCATGGTTCAAAGCCAGACCAAGCAGGAAAGTCTGTGAGACCCATCTCCAATTAACCACCAGAAAACCAGAAGTGATGCCATGGCTCAAAGTGGTAGAATACAAGGCTTCAGCAAAAGAGCTCAGAGATCGTGCCCAGACTCTAAGGTCAAGCAAAGAAGTTTTAGCCAAATGGCATTTTATTTAGTTAACATCTGAATCTAACACTGAATGCTCAGAAATACAGCAATATAGAAAATTCCATGAAGAAAACAAAGGGTATGGGAAATATAGAGGTTGGAAATTGTAATTCACTTAAGAAAAAGAAGGAACTACTTACTTGCCATATTTATATCTTTTTTTATCCTATGTTCTTTTCTGGTAATTACAAATGTCCCATGACATTTTTATTTGTACATACTTTTTTTTCTTTTGTCGGTCACGGGGCTTGAACTCTGAGCCTGGGCGCTGTCCCTCGTCTCAAGGCGAGTGCTCTCCCAGTTGAACCACAGCACCACTTCTGGTTTTCTGAGTGTTTTATTGGAGGTAAGAGT